GGGTTGCAGTGTTGGGGCCGGCACCTGGTCCATTTCTATGTCTTCTCCCTCAAGGCCCAGATCTCGGTGCTGCATTATCTGTGAGGGGTGGTCCAGGGACGACGTGTCCATGTCCTGTGACATCTGTGTATCCTCGATGTCAAGCAAGGGAGCAGTTGCAGCAAGACGGGGGCAGTTCGTTGTGTGGTGCTGCTGTTGTTTCTGCGTTTCCAACTCCTGCTGTTATTACATCTGCAGGTGCTGTTGTTGTTGCAAGATGAGTTCCTCTTGACAGCACAGTTGTTGTTGCCACTGTAGGTGCAGATGGTGCAAAATTTGTTATTGGTACAGTACTTGTTGTTGATGTTGCTGGTGGTGGTACTGCGCCAGCTGCATTTGCAAAAGGAGTTGAAGTTGGTCTTCGCACTTTATGTGTTGTTGAGCCTGTTGTTGTGCCTCGCAGTGGATGTTTAGCTGTTGTTGTGATAGTTGGTGCTGTTGTTGTTTCATAGTTATGGCTTGGTTTTGTTGGTGTTGGTGTTGATGCCATAGTTGTTGCTGTATCTGTTGATGTTGTTGTTGTTCTGCATGGGCGTGCCTGTGGTATAGCTGTGGCAGTATGTGCTGTTGTGGGAGATGCTGTATTGACAGTTGCTCCGCCGGTTGTCGTTCATGCTGTGCCTTCTGTAGTTGTTGTTGTGACAGTTGTTGCTGCACCATCTGATGTTGTGCCAGTTGTTGCTGCTCCAGTTGTTGGTCCGCATGAGCTTGTTCCAGCACTTGTTTATTAGGTTGTAGTGTTGGATGTTGCTCAGACTGACTATATGCATCTTCAAACAACTTTTGTGTCAACTGTTGTTGTGCTATCTGTTGCTGTTGCAGGGACACCACCGCCAACCCTTGATCTGCCACCTGATTGTACTGATGCTGTTGTGTCATCTGCAGCCTTTGCGGTGACATCTGTTGTTGCTCCATCAGATGTTGTGCTGACTGTTGCAGTTCCGGGTATTGTTCCTCTAGCCCTTTCTCCACCCCCTGCTTGTGCAGTCGTAGCATCGGTTGTTGCTCCAACTGGCCCTGTTCATGTTGTGGCAGCTGTTGTTGTGACAGTTGATGTGGCGGCTTTTGTTGCACAACCTGTTGTTGTGCCAGCTGTTGCTGCATCAGGTGCCGGTCCGCTTGCCCTTGATCGTCCCCCTGAATATACAGTTGTAGCGTCGGTTGATGCACCAGCTGGCTATCTATGTTTTGTGGCAGCTGTTGCTGTGGTAGTTGTTGATGTGGCAGATGTTGCAGATGTTGTTGCATCTGTTGTTGCTCCAGTGGGTATTGCTCCACAATCCCATGCTTTGCCTCCTGTTTATGTTGTTGTTGAGGTGTCCCCAGACATGGCTCCAGCCTCCCTTGCTCTGTCACCTCGTTGTGCTGTTGTTGTAGCATCAACTGCTGCTCCAGGTGACTCTACTCTTATTGAGCTTGAGGACACTACTGCTGTGTCAGGTGTTGTTGTGACAGCGGTTGCTGGTGAGACTGCCATTGATGAGCGGTTCCGACTACCTCGTCATGCTCCAGCAACCGAACCCGCTCCAGATCATGCTGTGGCCGTTTGGGGAGCTCAGGGGGAAGGAATTTGACTTCCCCTGTCACTTGAGAGGCCACTGAAGTCATGCTAGCTGGCATCGGGGATTGCACGGGGTCAAGGGATTGACCTTGCTTCTCTCCTTGTTTCTCTTGCAAACACCGAGTAAGGTCAGATTCTCCTTCCACTCTTTGGGAGTCTTTGTGTGGTTTGTGCTCTTGGTGTTTGGCCAGCGGCGGTTCCCATTGTTGTGAGAAGGCCACATCTTTGATCTTGTTTAGCAGGGAGTTGGCTTTAAGCCACACTTCACGGGGCTTAAAACCTTTGACAGCCCCTTCCACAGATGCTTTGCTGGCGTCTTTTCTTTGCAGTTGAGCAGAATGGTTAGTCTCATAATCGTGGGTACGGGTACAGTGTTCCGTCTCCCTCTCCCTCACTCGTCCTAGGGTCAAGGCGTTCTCAGACGACGTTGTGTGGACTGAGGGGGAGGCTGGTGTTTCACATGGATCTTTTCCTTCCCTTCTGGCATATTTACACTCCCTTCCGGCAAGTGTTGCTGACCAGATAAAGGTCGGTTTTGCTCAGACACCCTTGCCAACGTTGGGACAAAGATCTCAAGAGTGGTGTAATGTTTATGTTCTTCTTTGCTCAGTTGTTGTTCCCATTGTTGATGTTGCGTAGTATCCGTCACCTTGGACTGTACGAGATCATTCTGCGGCGGGGGTGGGAGTTGCATAGTCACTCCGTCAGCTGTTGTTTTACGGGTGTCCTGTTCCCGCGGAGGGGGCAGTGAGGCTGAGGCAAGGCCACGTGGACACTGATCAGTTTTCACTGTTGCCTGCTGGATCAGCTGAAGGGAATTACCATGGGTAGCATGCTGCGGTCCTCCCCCACCCAGGGATCGTCCAGATTGGAGTGAGTCCACTGCTTTACTGCTTTTAACTGTCTCGTGTTGTTTGTGAGCTTGAATCCGGTTATCTTCCCCCCCTTGCCCGGCTTTACCAAATGCAGATAGACGCAACTTCAATTCTCCAGTCTGTCTGAGCGAGGTACTGGTGGTTTATGAGAATAGGGTCTCTCATGATGGTGAATAGTTTAGGGAGAGTCATCATGGCAAGTTCGAATCCTCGCCTGTAAATGCTGATGAGACCTGAGAACAGGTGTCATGTCCAAGCAGTAAGTAAGAAAAAAAAGGAGGGTAAGAAAGAAAAAAGAGGAGGGAAAGAAAGAAAACAGAGGGTAAGAAAAACGTGGGCCCACCGCTGTGGAGTCCAGAAGACATTGGATGTCTAAGAGGTTATGAGATCAAAACCTGCAAAGCACTTAAGAGGACTGGCCTCTAAGGGAACCCATTTTTTTTCTGTGTGGATCCAAATGCAGCTGTTGGTATCGTGTACAAAAAACGCCATCTTACGGCCTGGCCAAACCACTCTCGAAAGGTGAAAAAGACAAAAATGTGGCAGGTGCATCTTGCCATGTTCTAGCAGGAAGTTCATTCTCATTTCGCACATTTCGAGAGTGTGTGTGGCGAGGCCCTTAGGGCCTCGTTCCACTACTCGCCATCCGCCACAAACAGTGGCGAGACTTGGCGAGGCCGAAAAGTGCATTTTTCTGGCGGAAAACAGCTCTTGGTTCCATTACATCGCCGCCGCCACGTGCTCTGTGGTTGCCGCCCACGTGCTCTGTGGTTGCTGTCCCGGCCTGCTACCTGGACTGTGGCGGATGGCGATCTAATGGAACGGTGGCGGCCTTCTCTTCACCATGTACTCGGACTGGAAATCAATCCAGATGCAGCGACAACTCGCCAACACTAGGGGACAACGCAGGTCGACTGTAAGGACCGCTGTGTCAGGGGAAATGGCCACACGAAGCATTTCGCGGAGGGGTGAGGAGTAGCGCCTCCACGAAGGGCCGTTGCAGGCAGGGGAAATGGGAAGCCTTGGCGACACATCGCCAAGTGATTTCAGACCCAAATTCTGACAGCCGTGGCTATTGGCGATGCAGTGGAACGAAGTCGCATCCGCCATGCGTGGCGGATGGCGAGTAGTGGAACGAGGCCCTTACAAGGATTCCAAGACGAGGGCCCGCTTTTGTACCAGATGGCTTTAATGGGCCCCATCTTGTACAAAAGCCCACTGACCGTCAAACTGGTGAAGGCTGGACTTACTGAAGCACATAGGACATAGGACAAGAAATGCAAAGCGGTAATTGAATGAATAAATAAGGATACGGAAGGTTGGTTTTACGTAGCAAAACAATACGGGCGTGGCGCGCACGGCACACGAAAGGAAAAAAAGGAAACGAAAGGAAAAAAGGAAACGAGTGCATCGTCGGGGAGAAAAAGGCCAGGTTCATCGGTTTGCTAGAAATAGTAAAGAGTGTTTTTTTTTTGCCACCTTTCGTGGGCAGATGCACTAGTTTCGTTTTCATTTCGTGTGTGTGCCCTGTGGCGACGCCCTAACTCCCTCTAGCACAATAATATAACTGTGCGAGCAAAAAAAAAAAATTTGTGCGAGCAGCACAGAGTGGCAATGATTTCTGGCAGGGTTCTGCCACAGAAACACCAACCTAACTCTGGGCCGGTTTGGCGCAGACACACCCATCTGACAAAACACAACAGGGTTCATGATAGCATAGGAGTGCAAGAGAAGAGAAATCTCAATGACAACATGAAGTACAGAAGAAGTCTAAATGACACACCCTGGGCTGTCTGACAGAAGGGGGCCATGATGGCAATGATTATTAACTTAGTCTACTAGTTTCAAAGATAAAAGTTCATAAAACCCTGTGTT